GGAGAGTATATAAAGTAAGAGAGTGAAGGATGCTCCTGAGCAATGTAATACGACCCCCAAAGGAAAAGAAATTATTTTTCCAATACAAAATTCTTTTCTGCGCCTTTTCCACTACCTCATCAAACTGAATACGCCTCTTTCTGCCTTTAAGGAGAAACCCCCCCCCAGATATTTAAGAGGAAGGGTAGAGAGGGAGAAGCCCGTAAAATTGGCAATCTAGCATGCATTAGAACGATTAACCATATTTCCCAAGTAGATGTTACGTTTATTAGCATTAAATAGTAGGTCAGAGACGGATTGGAAGTCAACCATTAAGCTATGAATCTCCTTCACCTTTTTTTTTGCTAGCATTAGAAAACAATATCATGTCATCAACATAAGCTAAATGAGTGACCACCGTGTTAGATTTATGAGCGTATTGCAAATTGGTGTTTCTCCTGAAAAGATTGTTTAGGAGACGGGAGAGATAATCAAATATTAAAATGAAAATAATAGGGGATAAAGGATCTCTTTGTTTAATGCCACGGCCCGCACTAAAAAAGCCCCGAAACTGGTCATTAATGAGAATATTATATTTATTGCAATGAAGTCAAGAGAGGATAATTTTGCAAAACTTCTGAGAGAAACCTCGTGCCTTAAGAACCTTCAATATAAACTCCCAACTGAGAGATTCATAAGCCTTATGGTTTTCCAATTTAGTCATCATGTTGCCCCCTCTACATTTTTTATCAATGTCAAGAATGAGCTCCTGTGCCAACATGATGTTATCAGTGATCCCCCGCCCCTGAATAAAGATAGATTGATTCAAAGAAATTAATTTGTTGAGGTGAGGTCGGATGCGCCTGGCCAAAATTTTACTACTCAACTTTGAAATAACAGAAGTCAGAGAGATGTGTCTGAAATGATCCCAAGGGCTCTTTTGAGTATTTTTGGGAATGAGAACAATTATAGCGACAGAGAATTAATTTCCCGGTATTTCCCCTTTAAAGAAACTCTGAATAACCTCCACTACCTGATTCTTAACAATACTCCCACATTTAATGTAGAAAGCAGACGTGAAGCCATCCGGCCCCAAAGCTTTATTACAATTAATATTCAACAGAGTAAAATAGATTTCCTCTGCCGAGGAAATACCGCAAAGATTAAGGTCCATCATGTGATGACGTACATCATCAAATAAAGAGGCATCAATAGAGCCCAAGGTCTCGTGGAACTCATAAAGTTTAGAAAAATAAAGAACCGCACTCTCCCCTATCTCCTCATCCCTAGTAATCCAATTCCCCTCATTGTTTTTAATCCTCATAATAGTGTTATTGGCTCTTCTTTGTTTAATGCAGACATGAAAATATTTAGTGTTTCTATCTTTTTGAGATAAATGAGTCTCCCCAGTTTTTTGTTGCAACAACTCCTCCTTCCAAAGAGAGGCCTCTAGTAATTCTTTATTGGCTTCCTATAAATCGTGGATGATATCATTTGTATTCTCATTAAGAGCCTGATACTCACCCTATGTTCGACCTTTTTGACTATAACATGTACATCACCAAAAACATCCCAATTCCAAGACCTTAGAGCAGCAACCACATTATTATGCAATTTCCAAAAATTGTACCAAGCATTACCTACCTCCTCACATTTTCAATTCTCAGCAATTAATCACAGGAAATCATCATGTCTAGCCCAGACATTTAAGAAACAAAAGTGATAGGTGGAGATTTTTAAAAAAAAAATCAAAGGATAAGAGAAGTGGGCCTTGATCTGAGCCAGTTCTGCAAAGGTGTTGAACCTGCGAAAACCCATAAGAGATCTGCAGTTGATTAGCAATGCATCTATCAAGTCGTTCGAACAACTTACCCCTTTTCCAAGTTAATTTAGATCCAATGAAACCCAAGTCAGAAATTCCCGCTAGAGCCAAGGTTTCATTGAATTTATCAGTTAAAGTGGTGTCAAACTTCCGACTACCTAATTTTTTCATATTCCTGCGTCACCATATTGAAATCCCCTCCAACCATCCAGTTTTGATTGATAGAAGAACCCATCTCCGAAAGTTTGTGCCAGAGATCAAATATAGCAACATTAGAAGTCCCGACGTAGACAAAAGTAAGAAATCCCGAGAAAACATCCATAGAGAAGAGAGTATGTACAAATTGTCTATCATCAGTAATGACATCAACTATAATATGCTTCCTCCAAGACAACCAAATTTTGTTAGAGCAATTAGCAAAAAAAGAGAAATTTTTGAATTTACCCCAGATACAATCATTCGGAGAGGAGACCAAGGGTTCCAAAATAGCAAATATATCAACCTTATGAATCATTGTCATTAATTTGAGTCTACCAAGGGAGTGAGGATCCGCAACTCTGCTGATATTCCAAATAAGGATGTTAAATATGAGTAGACATATTACCCTTCCTAGAAGATCTAGGTCGGGTCCGTCCATTTTCTCCATCTGAAAAGTATTGATTCATCTCTAACATATTATTCCCATTAGTGTGATTTTGCTCCTCTTGAACTCTATTCCTCCTACGGTACTTCTGAACATGAAATTCATCCCTTAAAACTTTTGAAATATTTTTCAAAGGAGTGTCAGAGAGAGCATCAGAATGATGAGAATAAATAGAATTATTATCCATATTTAAAGCGTCAAGGAGAGAAGCTGAGGAAGGACGAGCCTCCTCGGTAATAGAGATGATGATAGGATGGTCCAGAGCAGGTACTGGTATTCTCAACCGGGACAATAGCATTAGAGAAGGTAGGATCTTGGTTTTTATTAGCATTCGAAATAACAGGGAGAGAGGCAGAAGCCCCCTCAATATTAGAAATATCAGGAGGATTCGAATCAGATAACACCTGCTCAATTCTACCCTCGACAGGAGCCAAATGGGATGATAGTGGGGTGGGACACAGCTGCTAAAGGATCAGCCTGAACAGCCGCAACATTTTCAGGAAGCGTAGTTTGCTCCACGTGCGGCTGTTTCCTACCATCCCCTTTCCTCAGTTCAGGATGTAACTTGAAACATTGATTCTGATCATGACCAAACATTCGACAATGTGTGCAGTAGGAGGGGTGTTGTTCTAATAATACCTGTTGCCAATAACCAATGTGCTTCGACCCAATCCAAACCTCATCAGGTGGAGGTAAAGTCACATCTCGTTTAATTAAAACTCTAGCCATAGAAGGTCTCGTGAGATTATAGATGGGAGCATCTAATTTTAGAGGTCTCCCGAATATAGCAGCTAAAGAGAGGATTTCATGATTGAAGAGATGAACTTTCAAAGATGAGAATCTAAGCCAAATTGGAATAATAAATAATAGGAGCCTCTCTTTAGGATCAAAATTTGCTGACCATTTTAATACCTTCATACTGCAGTCCTCAAACCACACCAAACGTTTCATAAACAGGCGCGTATAGTCCTCTTCATTAGACAGTTGGATCAATCCAAGGGACCTATTTTCCATTCTCTCGTAAGCCTCATCAATTCAAATTGTTTTCGAAGAAACTCCAATTTTGGATACCCATAGAGGAACTTCCTTGCCAGGTGAAGACGACAGGAGGAGGCGAGTTCACAGTTCTCGGCATCAGAGAGGAAGAGAGCAAGCTTTCCCCCTTTCCGGCCAGTACGTCGAATGAAGGACACATCGGAATCGAGCGCGAGATTGTCGTAGAAAGCATAAGGGAAGTTTGGAACAACATCAGCGACAACGCTAGCATAAGAACGAAGCCTTTTACCAGTGCCACCAAGGCCACCGGCCGTCGCGCCAACATACGAGCGAGTCATGAAGAACGATCACTCGTGTCGCCATCGAATCGCAAACCCTAGCAGAGACGAAGGTGGAAACATCGTGCATTTATATATATATATATATATATATACATACATACATACATATTTATATATTTATACACACACACACATAAGGGAAGACCCTTCCCTTTGGGCGGCAACCTTAAACCGGCTAAGTGTCGGCCAACCCCCTGCACCTCCTGGCTGAACCAATTCAGTTTTACTAGGCAGTTCAACCCAAGAATCCCACGTCAGTTATCCGGGATTGAGGGAACTTCGATCTCATTCATTGAAGCTTCTAGATCTTCGTAGCATGGAGTCAAATCCACTGTATTGATAATAGCAAAAATATTGTAGTCCACTGGTAGTTCGATTTTATAGGTGTTGTCGTTTAGCTCCTTGCGGATCCTGAAAGGTCCATTTACTTTGGGGTTGAGCATCCCCGCTCCCACTAGGAATTTTTAACATGGGTTTTTAGTGTTATATTTAAAGATAATTTAGAGATACATGGATTCTCTTTTGAAATATTTATTTTTTTTATTTTCATTCAAGTTAAATTGGACAATGGGGTCAAAATTTGATGGAGCTCTGTTTTCTTGAAATATCTGCTACTAATCGTTTTAAAACCATTTGCAATGTTTTCCTTAGATGCCTTTAACAATTTTCATTGATGTTTCCTTTTGAAGTAAGCATTGGTCTTATTCCTATTTATGTGCATGATTTATGTGGTAATGTAAGTGATTTTTTTATTGTTGATTATTACTTTCAAGCTTTGAATGAACCTTTTTCACAGCTAATATGCACATTTATGCTTGTTTCCTCATCATATATTTATAGGCTTGTGAACATTTTCATTAACATATGCCAAAGAGTATTCTTTATTGAAGTAGAAGTCAACAATATTTTCAGAAATATTTTTAGATTAGACTGAATATCCCTTCGAGAATGCAAAGTAGCTATATGAAACATTGCGGTCTTCTTGAATTTTAAAATTTTTTTTTTTTGAATATGTCCATTCTCCGTTGGAGCATTTCTTTAATTTTTCAATACTACAATGCCTGCTAATTCTCTAATCAATGATTTTTTTTACCATCTACTAGTTTTTTACTATACTCATTTATATATATTATTGTTATCATTTATCATCATATCCAAGTTTTTTTTTATTTATGTTGGCTTGTGTCTTAATGTGGTCAAACAACATCTGTTTTCGCAGGAGCATTTGCACTATGATTTGGTGAAGAGTGTTGATCCAGATATGAAGAAGGTTATTGTTCAGATTAATGTATTCAAGCAACATCGGCAAACAATTCAAGTATGGTTATCATAATTATTTTTCGAGCTCAGTTAATGGAGGGATCCTCTATTGAACAATAGTCAAGAAAGATATTTTTCTTCCAACATGGTTTTTAGCAATGCTATATTATCTTGAAAGGAAAATGTGATGAACTTATATAGTATCAACACTTACTTTCCCTTTATTTATACATTATCGTGGCTTTCTTTGCTTTCAAACAGATGTGGACAAAAACACTACTTGAGGAGTTTTATTTTCTTATTACACTTTTGATAATTAGGCCATTATCTATATTTCTAGCAATCTAGTTTTCCATCAAATGACAAAATATATATTTATTGTTATTTTATAAGGGATGTTATTCTGCAGGAGAGATTACTACTTTTCTTGTTTACAATGCAGAACAATTGATTTATGTCCTATTAAAGCTCTAGGACTTTTCCATCTTTTAAACCTGAATTGCAAACCGAATCTTGTTTTTCTATATTCTCCAAGTTTTGGAAAGATCAAGTTAGGAACGGAATCTATATTCAGCGAGTATCATATTTGATGTGGCTATTCTTTGGAACATTGTGCCTTTTTTCCCTTTTTATAATAGAATCCTCCAGTGATAATATAACATAAATCAATTTTTCTCCAACAATTTTTTTTTAAAAGATTATTTGGTTGACGCCACAGATTATGTGATTTAATTAAAGCAATTCATTCATGAAATGATCTCGTCCAGTAATATGATTCAAACTTTCTTTAGGAACAAGTAATTTTTTTTTTGACGATAGTACGGCTTTTCCTTAATGTGCTTTAACTTTTTGTCTTTGTATCATTGATCCAATAACTTTTTCTGTCTCATTAAAAGTTTGTTTTTACAACCCTAATCTCATACTATTCACTGCAAAGTTATTTTAATTGTCAATAAGTCAGTCAAGAAAGACTAGTTCAAGTTTGCTTTTAAGCGATGCTTCAGTTTTGACTCTTTGTCAAATCATCATCTGTTAGACATTCTTTGTCTACTTTTATATGTATTACAATAAAGATAAGGGGAATTCAAATACAGAGCACACAATTCTTATGCGATTACATATCTCAAACCTAATATTTCAGATTTACACACAAAATATAATATGAAACTTAAACCAGCGTGGACTGATGATAAAAAATTATGGTGGCATGGGAATTAGTTCATTATAACTGAGATCATTATGCTATTGAGGTGAAGATTTCATGCACAAAATCAGAATTATTTATTTTGTTGGATCTAAATAAATGCAATCACACTTTACAAACAGCTAATAACCAAAGAGGCAAGGTTTAAAGTGGAGAAGTTCAATGCTTTCTGGAAGATGCAGGTGGAAGATTTGTTATATCACCAAAAAATTGTACTTGTCACTATAAGAAATCACAAATAAGCTTGAATTTATGTATGTGGAGGAATGAGAGGTGTTGAATCGAACGACACTGGATTTGACAAGGTTGACACTTTTCTTATCTATTGCGTTCAACATTGTAAATTAGAAAACTGTGGTAGATCACATGACGACACTGATGAAAATGTATGAAAAAACTTCTACTTCCAATAAGATTTTTCTGATGAACAAGTTATTCAATATGAAGATGTTAGAATACAGTTTAGTCACAGAGCATCTCAATAACTTAAACACTGTGATGATCCAGTTGTGTTCTATATAGATCAAGTTTGATGATGAGGTCAGAGCACTGGTGATACTATCTTCATTGTCAGATTGTTGGGATGGCTTGGTAACGACTGTGAGTAATTTCTCAGGGACTTCGAAGTTGAACTTCAATGATATCGTGGGTCTGATGCTGAATGAAGAATTTCACAAAAAAAACAACAAATTATGAATCTTTAGATTTTGCATTGAATGCTTATAATAGGGGAATGAGTCTGAGTAGGAATACATATAGAGGCAGATCCAAGTCCAAGAAAGGAAAGGCCAAGTTAAGCAGAGGAGAATATTGGAATTGCGTTAAGAAAGGTCATTTCAAGATGGACTGCAAAGCTTCAAGGAAAGCTGGTGGTGGAAAACATGAAAGTAGTCTTTCTACTAATCTCTTCGCAAGTGAAATCCAAATTGACTCCTTGATGTTATACCTTGTCAGTACTGAACTCTGGATAGTGGATTTAGGTGCCTCCTTTCATGCTTGCCCTAATAAAAAAAAAAAAGGTATTTAAAAACTATGGGTATTTAAAAACTATGCTCAGAGTGATCTAGGGAAGGTTTATCTGGGAGATAACAAGACGACCTGCAGTATAGTTGGAAATGGTTATATTTATGTCAAGTTGCCGAATGGAATAGTCTGTAAGCTTGCTGAAGTAAGATATGTTCCAAATTTGAAGAGAAATCTCATCTCTGTGTCCCGCCTGTCAAAGTTAGGACCTGACTACTTTCACAGGTGATTCATGGAAGATGACCAGAAGGGCATTGGTGATGCTTTTGGGCAACATTGAAGGCACCCTTTATCTGATCAATGAAATGACTGATTTCGTTGATGTGGCTGGAACCATGGATGATGCAGGTTTGTGGTACCGTAGTCTTGACCATATGAGAGAGAAAGATATGAAGTCCCTACTTTCAAAGAATAAGCTTCAGGGTCTGAAATCAGTTAATGTGGATTTCTGTGAAGGCTGTATATATGAAAAGCAGAAGAAATTTTTTTTGTTCAAGGGCGGTTCAGTGGTGAAATCAAAGAAGCTGGAGTTAGTGCATACTGATGTATGTGGTCATACTTCAGTTTAGTCTATTGGAGGTTAGCATAATTTTATCACATTCATTGATGATCACACGAGAAATGTATGAGTTTATTTCTCAAAGCAGAAATTTGATGTATTGGAAGTCTGTTAGAAGTGGAAGGCAATGGTTGAAGATGAGACAGACTTGAAGCTAAAGTGTCTCAGATCAGAAATGAGGGTGAGTACTGTGATCGAAAGCTCAAAAATTTCTGTGCTATCAAGGGGGTCAGACATGAGTTAATTGTCCCAAGGACACTGCAGTAGAATGGTGTGGCTTAGCGATTAACAAAACAATCACGGAGTGTGCTACGTTTATGAGGCTTCATGCAGGCTTGCGTAAACAATTTTGGGCTGAAGCAGTTAACACTGCAGTTTATCTGATCAACCACAACCCATCAGTACCTTTAGAGGAATGCTTACTTGAAAAAGCCTGGGTGAGTATTTGGGTGTTCTTCATATGTGCATGTTGATGAGCAAGCTTGACTCAAAATATGTCAATTGCACCTTCATTGGATATGACTCAGTTCGGGTATAAGTTCTGGGATCATTACAATCATAAATTATTTAGGAGAGACACCACATTCAACGAAATGCAAATGTACAAAGACATGATTAGAATTCAGGATATTTCGTCAGCTACTTCTGAAGAATCTTGATATGTGGTATAGATGATATTGTTGATCAGGAAGATGGAGAAAGAACAAGTGCTCAACTCGGAGTATTGGAAGTTTCTTAGTCACATGCTACAAAAGCCAGAAGATACAACTGAGTGAAACAACCCATACAAAGTTATGCTTCTTCTTTACACTATTTGTTACTAACTGATAGTGGTGAACCAGAGTGCTTTGAGGTGGCCACTCATGTTGACGATTCAAGGGAGTGAGTGCTTGCCATGGATGAAGAAATGCAATATGGAGCCAAATCTGGCTTTAGATTTGACGGTACTTCCAAATGGCAAAAGAGCACTACACAACAAGTGGGCCTACATATTGAAAAAGGAGTCAAATGGTAGCAAACACTACAAGATAAGACTTGTTATGAAGAGTTTCTAGCAGAAGGAAGAAGTGGATTACATAGAAATCTTCTACGCAATGGTGAAGAAGATGACTGTTAGGGTTGTACTGAGTATCATAGCAGATGAGATCTACTTCTGGAGCAGATAGATGTAAAAATAACTTTCTTACATGAAGATTTTGGGAGTTATACATAGTGCAACTACAATGTTATAAGGTTCTGGTCTTCAGATTTAAGAAGAGCCTCTTTGGCTTGAAGCAGACCCCGAGACAGTTGTACAAGAGGTTTGACAAGTTCATGTCAGATGTCAGAGAATGCGTACATAAAGTGTCAGACATACTACTATTGCTTCATCAAACATTTCGATAATTATTATTTTTTGTTTTTTTGTTTGTGGATGACATGTTGGTTGTGGGGCAGGTATTGAGAAAATTTGGGACCTGAAGAAACAATTATTAAGTGAGTTTGTGATGAATGATTTAGGTCCGACTGGAAAGATTCTCAGGATGAGAATTAGTAAGGACAAAAGTGTAGGAACACTAAAGTTTTCTCAGACAGAGTATGCTGAGAAGATCCTACAGAGATGGAACTCGAGTGAGGCGAAATTAGTTTGGATTCCCTTAGGCAGTCATTGTAAACTATCTAAGGAGCTATCACCAAAACTCTGATGTAGAGTAGGCACAGATGAACAGAACTTCGTATGCTTCATTAGTTGGAAGTTTGATGTATGCGATGATTTGTATCAAACTAGATATTGTTTATACAGTGAGAGTAGTCAGCAGGTACATGGTTAATCCTGGTAGACATCATTGGGAGGTCGTAAAGTGGATTCTCATGTATTTAAGAGGAACATTCAACAGAGCACTTTGTTATGGAAATGCATGGATCAACTACAAGGATTTGTAAATTCAAATCTAGCAGGAGATGTGGATAGTAGGAGAAATACAACGGGTTATATCTTCACATTGGAGAACACAACATTGAGTTGAGGAGAACACAACATTGAGTTGAGTTTCCATGTTGCAGTAGATCGTTCCACTTTCAACTATGGAGACCGAATATATTGCTATCACTAAGGCTAGCAAGGAGATGATTTGACTACAGAATTTCATGGCAGAATTGAGCAAGTAGCAGGGAATTGGAAAGCTCTACAGTAATAGTATGAGTACAATTCATCTTGCTAAGAACATTGCTTTTCATGTCAGGACGAAACACATCCAGCTCAAGTATCATTTCATTTGTTCTTTTCTAGAAGATAGACAATTATTTCTGAAAAAGATACACACAGCTGAGAATCTTGTGGATAAGTTGACGAATGTGGTGATTGTTGAGAAACCAAAGTTGTGCTTGACTTTAATTGAGTTTCATGAAAGTGGACCAGGGATGAGCCACACCGCGGTACATAAACACGGTGCGTGTCTATGAAGGTGATTCAGATGTAGGTGTAGGTATAGAGGACTGATGCTCGGTGCTTTGTCTCCAAGTGAGAGATTTTTATGTAGTGTGGAGCCAAAGCATTTCAAGTTGCATTTAGGGCTGGCATTTAGGTGCCAGCCATGGGCGCTCAAGCGCCTTATAAGGGTTTGGAAACAGAAAGGCCGTCGCCTATGCACTGACCATGTGGCGCCTAAGAGCCCTACATGATGCGGGCGTGCTTGTTTTCCTGTGAGATCAGCGCATAAACGCTGGTGTATTGGAGTCTAGGCACCCATTATGGGCTCCAAAACAGAGAGCTTGGCACTTATGAGCCAAGTTTGGGCGCCTAAGCGTTCAGTACGGTTAATACACGAAAAATTGATTTTTTAAGTTGATTTCGAGAGTGGTAAATGTGAACTTGTTGTTTCTTTCTTTTGAATTCTTCAACGAGCATCCCTTTGAAGGTGATGAGTGTTGAAGAGGTGAATTTTGGTGATTCAACATGAATTTTACGTTTGATTGGAGAGTTAAGATTGTTGATGCAAGTTTTATAAGTTTCTTCGTGTGAGTGTGAGGAAGAAACTTTTGTGAGTCTTTTGTAAAACTTTCTGAATTACATAATGAAATTTGTGGTTGTATGGCTCCGTTTTTTTTTTCCCGCTTTTGGGTTTTTTCTAATAAAATTCCTTTGTGCTTTTCAGGTTACTTTGATCGTGCTTTCTTAAATTTTTTGTTCCGGTTTTTCTTGAATCCTGTGATCTTATTTCGCGGTGAAGTTCGAAGGTGACTCTCTCGAAGTAGTTTTCTTAACAAAGGGAAAACCTTAGCCTGGGTGTAGGGAGGCTATATACCTGATTTGTTCGGGGGAGGAATTTTTGTTTGTTGTAATTTTTTTGAGCCATTTGGGAAGGAGACCTACACGAGCAATTCAATGCCTTGATTCAAGAGGGGACGATCATGAAATATAGGGATAGATTCGAATTGTTGTCGGGACGACTGTGGGAGATTTCTGAAGCAAGACAAGAGGAGAACTTCATGAAGAGCTTAAAACCTGACATACTGGCAGCACTCCGATTACTGAGACCACGGAGATTGAGGGATATGATGGAGCTAGCTCAGATGATGGAGGATAATAACCAAATGAAGAAAACCAGCAGGAGCAACACAGATGAAGCGTCGTAGAAAGTGCTGTAACCACGATGATGCCAAAAGTTTATACAGTGGAAATCCAGACGGAGGCTGCACTAGACACAAATAATGGACCAGGACCAGGAGCAACACTCAAACGCCTTATAGAGACAGCTTCCGGAGAAGCGAGCCAATGGATTATGTTTTCATTGTGATAAGAAGTTTATCCCAAGACACTATTGTAAGGATCGAAGAATATAAGTTCTCATAGTACATGATGAAGAGGCAGAGAACAAAGAAATAGAGACAGCTGTGGGTGAAGAGGAGGAACACTCCCATTTTTTCCCATCTTGAGGACAAGGTGTCTTTTGGGAGGGGTGTATTGTTACGAGAGTGCCCAGCCTAAGGGCAAATTGTCTTTTGTTTGCCTAGGGCAATTTAGTATTTTATTATTATTGTTGTTGGGCATAAATAGATTTGTTATGTCTAGGGTTAGTTTTCATGCATGAGATTGAGTTGTGAGTCATAGGTTTTGGTTTTGGGAGATATTTCCTACCACTCGAATTGCAGGAATTGAGAGAGATCGCCTAGCTCTCAAATTTTAGGTGTTTATCTTTGGTATTTGTGTGAGCTGTTTGGATAATTGAAGAAAATATTTGTGTTTGCCATAATTTTCTGTTGAAAAGCGTGTCGATTTCTGCTTTAGATCATAACAGTGTGTGTGTGTTTTGTTTAATGTTTGAGATAAGGTGAATGAAATTATTTATAGTTTCGACATTAATGGTGGGAGTTATCTACGTTAAATTAAATGTACTGTGCGCCTAAATCTCAGTTACAGCCTCTCTAAAACGGAAATATATACTAAAACTAATAAAATACAACTTAAAATAGGAAAGACCTATGCAATGCAGCGAGTTTACATTTCTGACAGTGGCTATAAGATTGAAGTTTGGCATCAATTTTATCTTTTTCATTTTTGTTTGCAATATTTACATAATTGGCACACAATTCTTATGTATTTACATATCTCACATCTAGACTTTTTTATTTATATACATAACCTTTTGGTGTTTTAAACCTATGCATGGAAATGTGTATTTCACTTTTTAAAAGTGGTTGTAGTGCTATGGTTGAAAATATGAAAGTCAGGTTTGAAATATGTGAATACATAAGCATCGTGTGCTATGTATATATATTCCCCTTTTTGTTATTTTGTTTTGTTTATGTTTTAATTTAAACTAAAATATGTTTGATTGAGCTAGTTAATTTTAAAAAATACTCAAAACATCTTATATTTGTTTTGAGTGTTTTAAAAATAAGTTTATTTTTTTTTCTTGAATAGAAAATAAACCATATAAGAATTATACCGTTCAGACATATTTTCAAAAATAAAAGAAATAATAACAAAAATAGAAAATAAAATTGCTGCCAAACAGGCCTGGGCTAATTATTTCTGATGAAAACACCATGTTATTCATCTGTAGCAAACTGAAAGAAGTTGGTCTCTGTATTTTCTGGCAAATTTTTAGCTTCTCATGCTATAGAAACTTCATTCATGAAATTAGTTCTTTTGGCATATAGATGAATTATCATACTTTTTAACAAGTTATTAATTGACATTAAAAAGGTTTCTCAATAGGAACCCCTCTCTTGTACAATAAAATATTATCCTATCAGTTTCCTCTGTCATTTACAAAGATACTAGATATTTCAGATTGGTAGCGGCATTTTTTCTTTGAATGTGGATTTTGCGATTATTGAACTGATAAAATTGTCAAAATGATCCCTTGACTCTGTGCTGGGGGTCATTTTAGATCATTTTAGTCGTAAAGTCTCAAAAAGTGTCAGTTTAGTCCCTATACTCTTTTAATGGGGGCTAAAATAATTCTCCCTGGGACTATTTTAACCCATATTAAAAGAGTCTAGGTACTAATTTAATATTTTTTTAAACTCTGGCACTAAAATGACACTATGTAAATAGTTATATGACTATTTTGGCACTTTAATTGAATTGAATTGAACTCTGCAAATTATATTTCACGTCTCTAGAATATTGAAGATGCAAACACGAATCTATATTTCAGTCCCATACCCATTTCCTTCATAAATCTAATGAAATAGTATTTTAAAACTGAGACCATATGCATGAAAAACCAATTTTTTTGAACAAAATAGATGATTTAGCTTCTGTGAAATTCAGTGTGTAACCATAGTTTAGTTTTGGCTGTGTCCGTGGCTTTGATAATACATATTTGCAACTCTTTGCCTAATATCTGAATTATATTAAGTTTTTTTATGAAATCAAGAAGTTTTGTTTTTTTCTTTTTAAGCACCTACGTGCATTTTATTTGCACATTGTATTCTAATCTTTATGTTTTAAATTAGCTGTTCATTTGAACAGTATTTGAAGCCTCAAGATCACGGAAAGCTTTCACAAGTGGAGCTTCTTGTTATTGACGAAGCTGCCGCTATTCCACTACCCATTGTGAAGTCGTTATTGGGTCCATGGCTGGTTTTCCTCTCATCTACTGTGAACGGGTACACCCTGATTTCCCAGGAATGCTGTTCACCCAAGTTTTTTGCTCCATTTTTAATATAACTTGGGGGATTTTTGGATTTTTTTTTTGTTTTGTTTATGTTTTTAGTTGAAATAAACATGTTTGGTGCGTTGTAACATGTTTGGTTGTTTTTAGAAACAGTCAAAGAAACTTTTATATATTTTGAGTGTTTTTAAAATTATCTTAATTTGCTTTTGAAAACCAAAATAAAAATATATAACAAGTGCACCATAAAAAAGTGTACTAAGGGGCCGTTTGGGATCATTTAACTTTATATTCTATATTTAGTTTTTATTTTGTTTTTTTCTATGATTTGATTTGAAGCAAAACACATTTGCCTTTTTGATTCAAGTATGTTTTAAAAATACTCTAAACATCTAAAAGTTGTTTTCAGTTCTTTAAAAAATGTATTAATTTATTTTTACAAAAGAAAAAGATAAAAAGATGCAAAAAGAATATTAAACAATCATGTACTTAAAAATAAAAGAAAAAAACAAAAAGAAATAAAAAATAAAATAAAAAACAAAATTGATTCCAAACAAGCCATAAACAAACATTTTTTAAAAGTAAAACAAAAAAATAAAATAAAAAGAGAAATGAGATCCCAAACATGCGCTTGATGTGTGCAGATGCATTCTCACTTTACCCACGTGTGTTCATTTTGATACATTACGTTATGTGTCTGCGCTTTTAGGTACGAGGGAACTGGTCGATCATTGTCGTTGAAGCTTCTTCAACAGTTGGAATCACAAAGCCAAATTTCTGTTCAGAACGTTGACAATCCTCATTCCGGTAACAGTTTTTTTAGTATTCCCATTATTTAATATTTTAAAGTCAGTTATTTTCCTTGGATATTCTTGTAAAGCTGTGTTGGGCAGTATGCTGGCTTCAAATTCTTTGGAGTACATGCTATTGGCATTGGTTTTAAATTTACTTGCATTTTAACTCTACAGTACACGACTAATAAGTTTACAAAAGACATCTTTTTTTTTTTGCTGTAAAAGGCTTGCTTCAAATGGTTTACAGTGGCTACCATCTTTTTCATCAGCATTATTGCATAAGCTACTCATATAACATTTTATGAACCTCGAGTTGATGTGGCATTCGGTTAGAAAGCTTGAAAGCCATCAATTATGTCATATATGCTAAGGTTTCATCTTGTTATCCCATATTTGCTGTGCTTCACATCTACGAACTCAATTTGGTTAGAAGAGTGAGAGAAAAAAAAAAAAAACCGTTGATGCATCATGTTACTTGGCAAGATTCTTCTTTAATTGGCATTTTGATTTTTTTGTTTGTTCATTCCAATATATTTTTTGCCATTTTTTTTTCTGTTTATCTTGCTTCGTAATAACATATTTTAGGAAGATTTACATACATACCACTCCATTTCTATGTATTTAAATACCTAACACATACAATTCAATTTCTACATACAGAACACGTTCCCTAAGCATGAAAATATATAAAAACAAAAATCCTATGCATGAAAATTTGTATTTCACTTTTTAAAAGTTAAAACGGTGGTATTTTTAATGAAAGATCTAGGTATTATAAATGTAAGAAGAAAAGATTTGGTGTTAGATATGTAAATAAATTATAATTGTCTGGTATGTTTGTAAATGCCTTTATGTTTTAATGCGAAGAAAATGTGGGAATCCTCAAATGTTTAATGGCTTCTAGCTTCTCTTCCTTTGATTACTAGCTCTTTTGATGCCGAACTTTGATCACGTTACGAATTTTTTCTGTAATGACCAAGAAAAATTACTTTCTGCTCCCTTGATAATCTGATATTTAGGGAATTATTACTTATCATGATAACATATTTCAACTTGTTCAGTTGGTTTATTGTATATTATTTTGTGAGTTACTTAGTTGTATTTTATTATTATTTATTTATTTATTTATCATGTGAATGTAGGTAGACTTTTCAAGAAGGTTGAATTGCATGAGTCCATTAGATATGCTTCTAGTGATCCCATCGAGTCTTGGTTAAATGGTTTGCTTTGCCTGGATGTTGCAAATTATATTCCAAATATTAGCAGGTTAGTTTTTTTTTTTTTTTCACAGAAGGTCTGTTTGATTTTTTATTTGCACAATTATTAATTTTTTATTATTTTTCTTCTCTTTCTGCCTCGGTATCATTACAGAATGCCTCATCCTAGCGAATGTGATCTTTATTACGTTAGTCGTGATACCCTTTTCTCATATCACAAAGAGAGTGAAATATTTCTACAGGTATGAAATTTGGAGGTTTTTCTTCAAAAGATTTTCTAGTACTTAATATCAAAAATTAATTAACTGATTTTAAAACTGGATCTTACATAAATTTTTTTTTTTCTGGTAGAGAATGATGGCACTCTATGTTGCGTCGCACTACAAAAATTCACCGAACGACTTACAATTGATGGCAGATGCTCCTTCACATCACTTATTTGTATTGCTTGGTATTTCACTTATCATTTTTCCATGCTGCTCCTATTTTTTTATATAATTATGATTGTGAAGCTATATATATGCTATTTTGGTTTGTACGCAGGTCCAGTTGATGAGTCAAAAAATCAGCTCCCAGATATACTCTGTGTGATTCAGGTTTTTACGCAAATTTTAATCTTTCTGAGATGTGTATGAATGTGCTTACTGTATATTTGTATGGCCCCTATACTTGCCATCTTTCCATATAAGTAAAATCCATAGCCAGAGAAATGCTTAGATATTTAGAAGATTTACAGACATACCACTCAGTTCTTCTGTATTTACATACATACCATCTTACGTATGCATGAAAAGATGTTTTACACTTTTTAAAAGTTAAAATGAGTTAAAATGGTGGTATGTTTTTTGATGTGATATGAAACATTTGGGTGGCATAAATGTAAATAGGAAAGTTTTGGTGTTAGATATGTAACTACATAAAACATTGGTGATATGTATGTAAATGCCCCATAATTGGTACTTAAACTCATCCTCCCGAAGCATAATGGTTTGCTCTTATATTCAGAAATTCACTGAACAAGCAATGACCTATATAATCACAAAGCAGCGAAGCTTTAGATAGCTTCGTTATACGGATCATTACTCAGATAATGAACGCATATCTCAAAGAAGAGCCACCTTCTAACCAACAGCTTGTCATTGAACTTGTAGTGCAAATATATCAGAATCTGTTTAAATTAGAAAACAACGATGAAATGAGATAGCTATAGGGCAGAGGTGCATTTCCTTACAATTTGTTATATGGGTTGCCATGCTAATTCACTACCCAAATTGCCCGCAGTTTTTTTAAAAAACTAAATTTGTTATTAAAACGAGTTCCACCCAATATGTTTTTAATATATGTAAGCATAAATATGTGAATGAGATTTTAAGCTCTATTGTCGAAGAAGTTGATTGAGAACCCCAAGGACTTTTTTCTAATGTCCTTCCTATGCTATTAAATTTCTTTATTCTCTTTCATTAATTATTGATATAATTACTCTGAGAATGCGCGAAACTGTTAGATCAAACTACTTTAGTACTTTATTAATCGCAGCTTGTTTTCTTCAAATTGATCATGTATTGTAACTCAATAGTAAAAAAAATTGAATTTTTATTTACAATCATTTTTTTTAGAGGTCATTTGAAATCAGAATTGAGATTTATTTTTTGGATATACACAATTTTTTTCCCAGCACTCTTCCTAAAGATGTATTTTAATGCCAAATCTAATCTTTTCGTATTATAATCTGTACAATGCATAATATGACTAAATTCTATTCATTTCAGCAAGATTGTTATGTTCTAAAAAAGGCGGTACTAAAAATATTGTATTTGATCCACTGGTGAGCATATTGGCTTGCGATTTAGACGAGGTTGGACTAGCACATTAGTCTATAGTAATGTAGACTTGGCAATGATATGGTCGATCTGATGAGGAATTGGTGAGAGAAAAAGGGAGAAGAAAAAAAAAAAAGTGAATAACAATCCTCAAGCCCTCAAAATTGATTTTTAAAAATACTTCTGTAATCTTTTTTTTTTTTTTTCAATTCTCTTAAAATTAAGTTGTACATAACGGATGTGGAATATTTATAACGAATAAGTGGACAATTGTTTGTTTAAATTGATCCTATGGGTTTGGTACATAATAATCCAATGAAAATAATAAATGATACGAAAAACTATTAATTTGTTATCAATTTATAATTCAGATGCATAGAACAATGTAATCAATCTTTATCATGAACAATTATACGTGTAGACAGCATCGATTTTCTTGTGCTGAAATGAATTCTTTTCTGGAGAGAATAACAATCCTCAAGCCCTCAATATTGATTCCTCGAAGTACTTGCGTAAAGAAATTGTTTTCAATTCTTTAAAACTTAGGTTCTACAGAACATATGTGGAATATTTAGAGGAATAAGCGGACAATTGTTTGTCTAAATTGCTCCTATGGGTTTAGTACATAATAATCCATGGAAAATCAGAAATAATACAAAAAAACAACTAATTTGTAATCAATTTATAATTAAGATGCATATAACAGCGTAATCAATCTTGATCGTCAACAATTAGATTTGTAGATTGCATCAATTTTCATGGGCTGAGAACTCTTCTTCTGGAGAGAATGACAATCCTCAAGCTCTCAATATTGATTCCTCAAAGTTTTTGTGTAAAGAATTTTTTTTTTCAATTCTTTAAAAATTAGGGTAAATATTTTTTGGATTAAGTGTACAATTGGTTGTCTAAATTGCTCCTATGGGCTTATACATAATAATCTAAGGAAAATAAGAAATCATACAGAAATGATTAATTTGTAATTAATTTAGAATTCAGATGCATATAACATTGTAAGAAATCTTGATCCTCAACAGTTAGATGTGTAGACTGCATCGATTTTCATGTGCTGGAAAGAACTCTTTACTTGAGGGTGATTCATCTTATCCATTCAAAAATGTGGAAACAGTAATAGTGTCTCACTTCACTATAACCTCTCCCTGCCAAACTTGAGATAAAATAGACGTCGCCAGAACTCAATTGATTGAATTTATCATACACATCAAATTAATGTAGATGATAAATTGATTGATGCTCATAGCTTTAAGAGAAAAATTCAAACCCGAAATGATATGTGCTGGGATTTAAGGGATTTTGAAATAGGATTTTCTTTTGTTTTTATTTTCTGTAAAGTAAGCCATCACTAGGGTAGTGATACTGGAGTTAATCTAAAAAGACCATAGAATGTGAATATTATTTCTGAAAATTCGAAGGGATCATAACAAAGGCTTTTAAAACAGGAATAAAATAGCATAAAGCAGCGAGGATGAAATTGATGATGCCCGACTGGACAACAGATGAGATGGCTGGCTAGGTGCTTGCAACAACAACAAATGAGCTGATATGGGGAGGCGGCAGTAGTAGAAGGATTGTGGGTTAAGTTCGGTAATAGTTTGGGGTGTAGGAGGGGTTGTGAGGACAACAGGAATTAGGGGGAGGGGCTCATGGTAACAGTGGTGAAAGGTGAAGGGGTTATTTAAATAGCCATGGAAGTCGTAGAGGTTTACGACAGTAGTAATGGAAGTTGAAGGGATTTGCGACAGCTACCAAGGGAGTGGAGTAGGGTGGCGACAGGAAAACAGGACGGGAGGTTGGCAACGACAAAGAGGAGTGTTTGGGGCTACAAAAGATAACAAAACTGTTGTTCTTAAGCAAGCTACAATAAGTAAGCGACGGCGGCAGCAGGATGGAGGTTGCAGAAAATAGGAAAGTCGAGGGTAAACACTTCCTCTGAGCCAGATTCAGCGGGAGCACCATGTGTCTTCGGATACAACTATGAGAGAGAAAATTGGGGACGACATCGACTGTTCTGACAGAAAAATGAACAAAAACTAACCCTAATAAAAAAAAAGAATATATTTTAATAGTAGTTAACTAGGAGAGGTGGGACCACTTCTGTTGTGCGGTAACCCTAATCCCTTGGTTCGGCCACCCCTCTCTCCCTATGGCTGAACTCGTTCAGCCCAATTCAGTCACCCGATTCGATTGAGGGGAAATGAAGCCCCGCGTCAGGTAGGATTGTTTGCACCTTTTGTATATGATTTAAAAGCTTTATTTTGAGAGTGAACCCTTTTTTTATGATATACAGTAAGAATACACAACTTAGGGGTAGATTCGATATTGTTGCTTTGGATTTTGCCAACTCTGCTTGCTTGGTTGCAAATGATTGTATCTGTGATTTTTATATCACTTGCATTCATTTAAACATTCCTTACATTAGAAATTTGAGCTACTCTACTCCTGTATGTTAATGATTGAGTTTGTGAAACTTAAATTTTTATTTGTGCTTTATAGGCATGGTATCGAGAGTTATATTTTTTTTTAATATGTGTAAATGAAAGACAATTTAAGCAAGTTTTTGCTAACGGGAATTTGATTTTCAATCTTATGATAATACCAGTTTGTCGAGGTAGACCAAGCCATATGCTAGTAATGTTTGTTAATTGCAGCTATTTTAATTTATGGTGTGCATATTCATCAATGCTTTAGTTTTATTGACTGCCGTGGTTACAAAGGATCAAACTTAGAAATATTGGCTTTATTACCCTTATGTAGGTAGGGCAGCTGACTCAAATGTGTGCATACTACACATTGAGATTGTGATTTGCGTTTTGAGGTGTTAGAATCTTTTCAGAAATAAATACATGTTTTTTATAGCAACCACATGCTTCTCTATGTGGGGCAAAATTGAGTTTATCTTATCTTCGATTGTTTGTAGCATTCTTTGATTTCAAGTTCGAAGTTTTAGCATATTCTCCGAATCACATTCAGATGCTTTTGTTAATTTTAGTGTGCAACTTTGTAATCTTTAGCTTAGGCAATGGTGTGATTATCAGAGGCCTTTTGCAAAATTGATTCAAAATCCCTTCTTGTCTATTTATTTTTACAAGTAGTTTATTCTTAAAATTCGTGCAAACCTTTCATTTTGAGTTTAATGTTCACATTCAATTTGCTTGTGTGTATGTATTGTGATGGACGCCATGGTGAAAAAGGATTCATGTAGCCGACCCCACGTAGTGGGATTAAGGCTTTGTTGTTGTTGTTGTTGCATGTATTGTGGATCCATTTTGCAATTATTGCATTTAGAACATGCGTGTTCTAAAACTGTGGTGTATTGTGTCTTCATAAAACTCGTAACTTAGTCAAATGGGTCACACATGGAATCCATTTCCATTTATGAATAGAGAGCTGTTGTAGGTCAATTTTATATACCAGGCTTTCGTCATCTCATCATAGTAGTGCACATAGGTATTTACGTGTACGAGCAGCCTACATTGCATTCTTACTTTACATGAGTGTTGGCGCTGAAATTGATGGTGAAGAGAGAAAATCAAATGATCAAAATTTTGTCTTTTTTTTTTCCTTCTCTTCTTGCCCCCCTTCTTTTTATTGTTCGTCTGATTTTCTTGAGTACACATATAAGTAGATGTCATCATATATAATATATATTTTTATTAAAAGTTAAACTTATTCTTATTTTCCAGTTCTCTTTTGAGATGCATGCAGTGTAGATTATCTTGATCATCTTCACGATAATTATTTCCAGGTCCCTATGATCTCCACTGTCTCCTCATATCTTTGGTCTCTGAGATTCTAATAGCATCTTAGGTTCATATGGTCTCTAGGGTGCTATATTTATCAAGTTAGGGAGGACATTTTCAATGGGCTGAGGAGATCAAGGAGGTGCACCATGCTTCTTGTGATGTTATATTCTAGGAAGATTTACATACATACCATTCAATTCCTATTTATTTACATATCTAACACCTAAACTTCAATTTTTACATACATGCCACCTTCCCTAAGCTTGAAAATGTGTGTTTAACTTTTTAAAAGTTAAAATAGTGGTATTTTTGATGCTATATGGTAGATTTGGGTGAAATAAATGTAAAAAATTGAAGTTTAGGTGTTAGATATGTACATACATAAGAATTGGGTGGTACGTATGTGAATGCTTTTATATTCTAACAGGTATTTTAGCAAGCAATTCTTTTGCTAAATCATTCAAGTATCTGAAGGAGAAGAAGCGTTCTAATATAGTGGATTTTTTTGCTCTTCTTTTTGCAATATAGGAATGCTATGAGAAGGTCCTTCATGATTTCATATTTATTTAATTCGAAATATTAGTTTATGAATTTTTCTAGAGTTATCATCCAATTTAACTATTATCGCACTTATCTTCTTGATTTTAAGAATTTTTTTCAGTCATTTTGGCTTTTAATTAGCTACCTTTTTTAATTATGTTGGAAGCTTATCATTTAGCTTTGTTGATAGTAGATAATGAAATTCTTGGAGGAGACTTTAGATATTTTGTTATCCTTACATGGTTGATTAATTTTAGCTTCATGTTACCTTGTTGTAGGTGTGCCTTGAAGGAAAAATTTCGCAAAAGTCCGCTATCAAAAGTTTGAGTGAAGGTCATTCACCTTTTGGTGATCAGATACCTTGGAAATTTTGTGAGCAATTCCAAGACACTGTATTTCCAAGCCTTTCTGGAGCCCGAATTGTTCGCATTGCTGTTCATCCAAGTGCCTTAAGGGTAATTACTGTTGAAATTTTTTAGGATTACATACATACCACCCAATTCTTATGTTTTTACATATCTAACATCTAAATTTTACTTTTACATTAATGCAACCCAAATCTAAAAAACACCACCATTTTATCTTTTAAAAAGTGAAATACGCCTTTTAATGCATAAGTAAATTGGCATGTATGTACAAAATGAATTTTAGGTGTTAGATATGTAAATACATAAGAATTGTGTGGTATGTAGGTAATTCTTCCAATTTTTTATTTTTGTCTTGCCTATAATGATTGCATGTTATTTCACCTACCTGCTTTATTTTGTTACAGCTGGGATATGGCTCTGTTGCAGTTGACCTTCTAACGAGGTTTGTTTTTGAGTTGGCCTTCATTAAGAACGTTGCTTAAACATAAATGCATATTGAGTGTGAAACTAATTCATTTGAAAGCTGAATCTTTCCTTTATGTTTAATATTCTGATTCTCTCATGCTAATTATGTTCTTTATCATATTTTGTCATAAAGTTGATTAAAATAGAAAAAAAAAATTTAGTTCTATGTTAAAGAGACTAAACTTTAACATAGCTTATTCTTTGCATGTCTCATGGCCATACTTCTCCTTTTGCATAATCAACTTCTATTAAAAATATTATACGAGTCACATTTTTTTATTTGGTGAAGAAAATTGTTTATTAGCTTATGTGTAGTCATTTTTTTTTAATCTTTTCAAAAATTGGCCACAAAAGTGTAAATAACTTTTTTTTTTTTTTCATTTACATGCATAGGTACGTTGTGTTCACAACCAATGCCTTATGGGGGCAAACTTAATCATCAAAAAGTACACAACCAATTAGTTACATATATCGTACTTCTTTTTCTTCCAACATTTGTATGGATCATATTATATGCTTGTGAGATCATCATATTGGATTTAAAACATGAGAGGTATTGAATTTTATTTATTTCATATGAAAAAAATTCATAAATCCAGGAAAAAATTTTGAAGGACTGAAAATATAAAGGTATAAAACTTACTAATTGTATTGATTTAAAAGAGTAGGAAATAACTACTATATAAAATAAACATAATCATCTATTTTACTACTTGGTTCAAGATGAAAAGGGAGATACAATGTAAATATCTGCCATCACTTTACATGCAGTATGTATTCTTGAGGCTTTATAACTTACAACAGAAAAACCTTTTAACAGAAGAATACGCCACAGAGTTCGAGTTGCTCATGTTGCAGAGTGAACTAGTGGAACCCAAGAACACCATAGCTATATATTTAGGAGGATTGCGACCGTCTATTGGCAACATGGTCGAGTTGCATCCCTATTGGACATTTTATTGAAAGTGGAGAGGCCCCACCACAACATCAAGTCGACACAACCCTTCAATTAGGATTCAACCACTAGATCAGGTTGCAAGATCACTCATACTAGAACACCTAGACCTACCCCTTGGGAAGAGAAGTCAAAATTGGAGGAAAAGAGGACTGACTAGACCTGTACTTCCATAACATTCTCAGTCAGGAAGTGTTTCAAATGCCATCAATACGATACATTACACCAATTGTTCCAATAGAAGGGTGATCTCTTTTACTGAGCAAGGTGCATTAGACGAAGTCGAGAGTGAAGATCCGGGGGAGGAGAATGAAGATTATCGGTTACTTGCAGTTGCAGATGATGGCAAGCTGCTTATAGTTCTACAAGTTCTCAGGTTAAGCCTAAGAGGGATCAACAGTGCCTTAGACATGATTGTTTCCATATTTGTGGTATTGTAAAGGGGAAGGTGTGCATGCTCATTATAAACAAAAATAGTTGTGAAAATGCTATGCAGGTGTTAGACAAATTTAGCATCACTACATAGAAGCATTTCTAACCATGTTCCCTGTCACACCTCAGCATGCCTCTCTTCTTTTAAGGTTCAGCTGATGAGCGACAGAGCTTGGCAATTTGGTCAGACCAACTCTCACCATTTCTTGTCTTGATTTATATAATCAGGACTCAGTGGTGATGAATTAGTCTAACTGGATCACCACATTATACATAATACATTGTATTTCAATTGCATATTCAGAAGCATGGAAATTAAATCATCTAAAACATGAAAATTATATAGAGCTGCTAAATTCAATAAATAAATATATACCTAAAAAGACTGTACAAGCTCTCAACTATGGAACAAAAAGTTGTACAAGTCACCTAGCTACTCTCCCCAATGCTCGTTGCCCCGACTTGGAAGGCAACAACTTACAGTGAACAAAACTAACTCAACAAAATAATCAGAGCTAAAATAAGACTTTAAATATGAAAAGAAACTAACCTGCATGTTCAAATTAAATTATACATGTCTACATACAAGCATAACATGCTGGCATAATGTGATATTATGCTAAACCTTGGAGCCGCACTCGACGATTTGGGGGTCGAATGAACCGGAGGGTTTCTAAACCGGCCAGCAGGGATCCTGATCTAATCTTTGATGGACCGGCCGGTCTTATGACACACAAGAAATACTGCGCATCTCCTTCTTTTTTGTATACCGCCTCTTCTCCCCTTCCTTATCTTGTCTGCCGCCCAAGGGAGGAACCTTCTCTTTCTATTTTATCTAGTAGCTATTATATATATGTTTGTGTGTGTTGAATTAGAGTTATGTTTTGCATGAGTTTTTCCAGATTTTTGTAGAAGTCTCTTTTGCAAGGGCTGCATCTGAGCACAGATGGTGCTCCGGTTGTATCTCGGTTTGAGGTGGAAATGTATCCTCTCCCATCTTCCTCCCTACTACTTCTCCTTCACCTCTTTTTGCCGTCGGTCAACCCATCTCCTTCCAGCTTCCATGCCACCCCCTTCAACTGCTGCAAGCCTGCAGTGTTGCCCTCTACTTCACCTCACCACAACCTGTTCTCCCTTCCTCTGCAGCAGCCATTGCTATACGACCTCCCGGCCACCCTCCCGAATCCAGCCTCTAGCCCTCTCTCTAACCTACCCTACAACCCTCCCTTTTCTTTCCCCTTGCTGCTTTGCCAACTCCACCACCACCCATGTTATATTTTTCATTCCAGTTTGTGTCGTGTTGCAACCCCTAATTCCGTGCTAAAAAATGCGTGCTTCCGTTTCTGCTAAGTTCTAAACTAGTTCCAGTATCAATATCTCACACCTAACTTTCATATTTACATACATAACAGTTTGATGCTTTAAACCTATGCATGCAAATGTGCATTTCACTTTTTGAAAGTGATAATAGTGTTATATCTGATGTGATTTTAAAATATGACTGTTTTGTTGTGTAAATATGAAAGTTTAGGTGTGAGATATGTAAATACATTATAATTGTGTGCTATGTATGTTCATGCCCCTTCCTTTTTTTTGTCGAGCAGAACTCAAGATGTCAAGTAAACTAAAAAAATAAGGTATTTTACATGACCAATATCTTTTGCAGGTACTATGAAGGGCAATTGTCACATTTTTCTGAGAAAGATGTTGAGGAGATTATAGAACCAAAAGTTAACGTTATTGAAGCAGCACAAAAGGTTTGCTATTTTAGATTGTTGGCATATTCTCTTTCGGTATTTTGTTTTTTATTTTTGCAAGAACTAACGTATTCCATGCGTTGTACTTGTTTTTAAGGCCGTGATTTATTTTTATTTACGTTAAAATTCTTGTCAATGTATTTATTGAACTCTTTAGTGCAAGCTTTTCAGCTTCATTTATATCTATAGTTTGAGTGGCGAAATGGGGATTAGAAGTATAAATTTTGCTGAGGCCCTTCATGAGCTAATGTGCTAATTCTCATCATGCTAAAACTCGGTCATTTTCAATTAATGAGCTATATTCTGAGCTCGAGCTTGCGACTCAGTCAGCTCAATTTGCGAGCTTATTAATTAGCTGAGTTTGAGCTAACTTGTGAACTGACTCGAGCTCATTTACACCCCTAAGTGGGAGTTGAGTAGAGACATGAAAGGATTTTGCTGGAGAAAAAATTGAGAAATTTTGGAAGCGTGAGTATTCTCTTTTGTTGTTGGATTTTTTAGAAAAGAAGACTATTATTTGATCTGACATCCCCTTACTCTTAAGAACAAATGCTTTAAAATAATATGCTTCATTAATTTCTACCTTAGATATGAGAACATTCCAAGTATGTAGTTCATGTATAAATTAATCTTCAATATTTAATTATCGTTCTTGAACAGCTTGAAATTCATTTTTAACCTAATTAAATCTTACTTGGTTTGTAATTTGTTTAATGTAATATCATAAAAGTTAACTGAGCGAGTTTCTTTATGCGGTTGGTATTGACGATTGTTCGTTTAAGTGGTTGGGTTGGTATTTATTGGCCAGGTCTTTCTAATTCTCTAGAACGAGCATTAAGGTCCATTTGTAAGTGCTCCTGGGTGTGCCTGGACGAAGTCTTAAGGTTTTTCTATGCGGTTGCTAGCCCGCTCTAAACTCTTCCCTCTCTAAAACCTAAACCCCAAGGAAATGGCCAAATGGAGGACCTATTGACAGCAAAGGAGTTGCAAAAAAATGGTATCAGGAATCATTAGCTCATAGGGGTCTTGATCATAAGGAGTAACTCCAAGTGGCCTCTCGTGATATAAAATTTAAAGAAAGCAAACGACATACTAGAGGTGGCATCTAGTGGGCTTATCATTAGACCTTAGGAGATAAAGCAATGTAGTGAAATGTAGGCAAGTTGAGGGTTGTGGAAGTGGCCATGAAAAATTTAAGAATAGGGTGATTAGTGAATGAAGTGGAGCCGAATAGGTGTGGAATATGTTGACAGGTTAGAATGGCCAAAGAATCTAACGAATGAAAAACAAAAAGCTAGGCAATTTGTAATTGTGGACTTCTACTGCTGTGTCAGAAAGTTCATACTTATGCTTAAAACTCGGTGAGAGTTGGGCGATCAAGGTATTCATGCCATCAGGGTTAGCAATACGAAAAGTTTAGCTCCCTAATCTCATTCCTTTTGCATGTAAATGGAAGCCTTTAAAAGGAAAACTGGAAATAGGTAGTGGGAGCGGTGGCTCCATACGCGTTAATTTCAAAAAAGGGTACATAAATGGGAGGGAGGAGGATCCCCGTTTATGAAAAACCAAAAAATACATTTGACACACCCCTAGGGGTTCCTCTCCCCACAGTACAACTCACAAAAAAAAAAAAGAAACTAAAAAAATATAGGTGTACCCAAAAACCAAAAAATCAAAAATAAGTAAACCTGTGTTCTTGTGTAACTTGATATATAAAGTAGAAAACATGTACAAAGTTGTCTTCAGATTAGTAGAATTCTCCAAAAGCATCTCCACGGGCAGACAAAATCCAACAGAAATTGTGAGATCAAAATAGTAACAGGAATCAAAAACAGGAAACAGGAAAAATGAAACTCGGCCTGCTGCAATATAGAAACCTGCCAAGCAAAGTAAAAACCCGGAAGCAGAGAAATGCATACCCCAGCCATCGAACCGAAAGCAGTACCCCCTTAGAGCCAATAAGCACAAATAATTAAAAACGGACATAAGACAGATTTAAGTTATCCCCAATGAGGAGTTTTCGAAGAGGAGCAGAGGGGTGGATGCCAACGTGACAGACCTCCCCTGCATGCTTAGCGAGCCATTCAGCAGGGGAGTTGCCCTCTCTATGAATGAATTTCCAAGTTACCTCAAGATGCTTTTCAGCTATAAAAATTAAAATACGTTTAAAAGTGCAAAATATATCCTAGAGGGGAGGAGAGATACCCAAAAGAATATCATAGAGCATTTTAGAGTCAATTTCCACCTCTATTTTATGAAAGTTTAAAACACTCGCCACCATTAATGCCAGAAACACCCCCAGCATTCCTTTGCCAATGGATTATCAACAACAACAGGGGAGGTGAAAAAACAGAGACACTTACGCTCAAAATCTCTAAATATTTCCCCAACCGCAGCGTAATCAGGATGCCAACAGCCATCCACATTTAATTTAACATAACTCGGTAAAGGAGGAGTTCACCTAATGAGCCAGGGGGGCCTTAAAATAGTAACATCAGTAGAGCTAGGGACTTTATTGTAATAGACAATCACATAAGCAACAGTTATAGAAGCAGTGGGGGGAGAAAAGTGTATTTAAAATTGTTTCTGGAGTTCCAAAACAACCAATGGACCAATAAAGGGAGGGGAAACCCCCCCTTACCAACATCAAAATCCTTCCATTGTCACAAATAGTTGCTTAAAGTGCCTCTATGCATCCATGAAAAACCGAAATGTGAACCAAGCATATTCCAAACTTTTAAAGAAAAAGCACATTCAAAGAAAATGTGCCTCGTATCTTCCTCCTCAACTTTGCACATATGACATCTCGATGCCATTTTTAAATCTTTTTAACTTAAGAATGTCATCAATAGGTATTAAAGAAGTGAGGTAGCGCCAAAGGGAAAAGGATATAGAGGGAGTTAAAAATTTATGCCAAATCCATTATCCCCGGAACCAATCACGGTGTGAATGTAAAGTGATATAAATAAGTTTGTAAACCGATTGAGAGTTGCTTCTTTTCCACTTGGAGAGATCCTTTTGTGAAGGTGTAATAGGAATAGTAAGGATATGTTTTGTATTTTGCTCCCCCACAATAGAACACAATTTGGAGAAATCCCAGACATCATGAGTAAAGAAATCAGAAACCAATAATGAATTAGTATGAAGAGAATGTGAGTAATCAGAGAGATGTGACAACCCCAAATTATTGTTCCAGAAAGAGATATTACCATCGCCTATGTCCCAAAACATGAAATCATTAGCAGTGGTTCTTGCATTTACTACAGCTTTCCAAATACGAGAGTCACCAACCTTCCACGAAACCAGAGAAGGATGAGTTTGAGTACAATATTTTTTATGTAAAAAGGAAGCACATAGCGATGAGTCCAATCTGAATTTAAACCAAATTTTGCAAAGGTTTACTTCCATAGTATGTTTCAAGGCCTTAAAGCCAAATTCGCCAACCTTTTTAGGCTTACAAACTTTATGTCATGAACCCCAAGTTTTCTTTGCACCATTTTCCACCCATAGGAATTTATTAAAAAGCTTCTCCATAACCCTGATAACACTTTTTTTAGGATTAAACACTTGCAAAGCATATAGTGGAATACTCTGAAGAACACTAGAAAGCAAATAGATTCTGCCCTCTGTTGAAAGAAAAAACATTTCTCCGATCATTAATTTTACGTTTGATTTTATCAATAACATCAACCCTATGAATTTGTTTCCTCATTCCCCTTATCAAACAAATTAACCCTTAACCCCAAGATATTTGAGAGGGAGAGAGGCATGATGAAAGCCAGTATATGCAACTCCCCAATGAATAAGATATTGTTTAACCTGCTTCCTAAAAAACATCTTACACTTGTCACAATTAAAGCGTAGTCCCGAAAAATTCTGGAAATCTTGTAAAAGCTCCATCACTTGTTTTATAGTAAGTTTAGATGCATTAGCAAAAATAATGACGTCATCTGCATAAACAAGGTGTGAAACCACCATTTTAGCTTTGTGAGATAACTGTGTGTGAGGGTGTAAAAGCTGGAAATGATTGAGCACCATAGATAAATAATCAAAAGCTAAAATGAAAATAATAGGGGAAAGTGGGTCCCCTTATCAATTGCAGAAGGCGTTATGTTAAAAGATAGGATGATCACCCCAAGGCCAACAAATATACGAGGAGGGTGCTAAGAAGCCATGTTTGAGGTGATTTGATCTTTTCACTCACTGGGATGCCGGGGAGATAGGTTGCCATGCCACCTAACTATATGAAAAGTGCTAATGGGATGGGGAGGGCACTAAAATGTTGGCCATAGGGAAGTCAACAAAAAGGCAAGCAATATGAAGTCCATGATGAGCTTTGAGATTCTAGAACTTTCGGTCTCAAAATCGTCACTTAGAATAATATTTTGAAGGTTCTTGAAGGCGACTTGCTTAATATCGATGTAGTCATAGTCACAGAGAATAATTGGGTAAAGTCTGCAAAGTGGTGACTTAAACAAGAGAGCTCGCTTGCTAGGGAATGGGAGAGTTATTGAAAGGTAATGATAAATGTTACATATAAAGTGTCGTGATGGGGCCACACGGTGAGATACATGTGGCAAGTACATAGTGTATAAAGGGGGTTGGTTTGATTCATTGAACAAGAGAGGTCGCTTGCTAGGGAACGGGAGAGTCTTTCAGGTGTAATGACAAATGTTACATCTAAAATGTTGTGATGGCATCACATGGTGAGATACATGTGAGCCAGTACATGGTGTATAAAGGGGCTTGAGTTGACTTTGGGAGCTGATGAATGAGACGCTATGGGTAGGAGCTGGACCAAAGTTTCAAAGCCCGTAAATTCAAATTATTGAAACAACCTTTAACTATGTTAACTAACAATGAGAAAGTCCAAAAAGAAGGTTAACAACTGCCATCGAAGTAGTAAAGGCCATTAATTATTTAGCTTTGTCAATTGTCCTGCTCGAGGTAATGAGAGTTGAAGAAAGCAATATTATCAAAGTGCAAAGCGCAATGCGATG